ACTCACTCTACAAATATTTTCGTCTCGATATGTTTCTTTCATTTACGCTGCATATTTTCGTGTTGTGTTTGAGCATTATTATTCTAATATCAGGTAGTATGTTAATTATTTCTGCTTTGTCATGATATATACTCAAGCATAGACATTATATCTTATGTAAGCTACCCAGATTTAGGCTGCTACAGTACATATAGGATATTGCAGGTACCGGCTCATTTAACAATGAACCCAGACACTACATATCTGTCTACTTGTATAACTGTTTGACTGAATTTATTTCTGCCTCTTTCGAATTGGGTGTCGATTAGAGCTGACTGTCCTGAATTCTACTTGACACGACGTCGTCAACTATCCGGAAAAAGCTGATTCCTCCTTGTTTCAGACACAGGATTAAATCCATAGTCATTAGTGTAAGGGAATAAAAATTTCAGAGTTAGTTTAACATTGATTTACCTAAACACCAACAACGATTTTCACACACAGAACTGAGTTCACAATCAAAATACACTACACTATCTAATATTTCTGCTCAATGAGATTGAGTGGTGATCACTTACTGATAACAGCGCGAAGAGCGCATGTATATTTACACGAAGTTCAGTAGAAGTGTATGAATAGAACTCACTTATTCAATCGATCAGATGGTGAAAACACATGACATGGTCAACATGAAAATCGATCCGAGGAGATTTAAAATTGACTCCAGATTCCCCAATCTATTCGAAACACTTACGACATCGTATATAACTTATCTAGAGTGGACCTTTTCCAATTCTAACAGGCAGTAGAAAAAGTTGGTTAGTTTTTTTAGATAATCAACGTACATAGGATTTGGAGCTTCACTGATACGACTGAAATAAGTTGACTGACGTTTATTGTTAACTTCTGTGTGTTTTCTCGCACCTGAATGGTTTAAATTAAAAGCTTTCATTGTCCTTCAGAGTAAACTCTGAAGATGTTGTCAATGATGATGTGAATGAAAGGTTCGCTTTCAAGCCAAGCAGCTTAAGGAACAAAACGACACTAAAATCATCCATCTGACCTACACACCTTTCCAACTATTTGAAAATGTTTGGCCTATCTATTTTTCCAATCAATTCATAACTTTATTCAGAATATAGGAATTAATTTCAACTATGAGTATTTTATTCAGTGCAATTAGGATTCACTTTTGTACCTGATAGATTATACATTGGTGTAGTGGTCTCCTGTACTGAGAATAAGAAACGAGGAATCCTTTGTTAGAGTATATTAAGTGATATATACTGCTGTTAAACGCACTTTGCAATTATTTATTTTCACTCAAACCATTTTGTCATACTGTATTAAGGACAACATAGTGAGACAAGCTAAATACCATTATTCCTCTCGTCAAATTCAATCCACTAGCTCAATATGAATACAGACTTTTGTAGATTCCTGGAGCTAATTTCACATCAACAGGCAGTCAGGGACTACATTAACTATGTGTATTGACTGGTGAGACCTTCACATAGATTTAGGTTATCTAATTAATTCTATTTCAGTTGTGTTTATAATTGCGATTATAGATGTACTGTTAATGTTCAAAAGTATATCAGAAGGAAACACATTTAGTAAACCGTGAAATGAATCTCCAAGTGCAGTCAATAAATTCCGTTTTCATATTCATAGTTAAATGTAACTAAACACCCAACATGCCTTAACTACATTAACGATGCACAGTTTTAAGGTGGTTGGCACTTTCAAGCATGCGTCCGAAGCAGGATTTTAAGCCCCTATCGCTAACAAAGTGTGTGATCTGAAAGGACATGAAAGCGACTAATGGATAAGTATTGACTCTGTATTTGGATGGATTCAACTACAGAGGCAGACAGGAAAACTATCATATGACTCTCAGGATCATATACGTACATTTGCAAAGCCTAATGCATACCATGAAAGTTTATTTGATCAACACGTCTAAATGGAACACAGAGAAAGTTTTATCTGTTTTGTGTTTGACACGAACATTCCTACCTATTCCTTAAATAAATTCTGAGTTCTCATGTGCAAAATCAGTTCATTTGGCCAAACATGAGTCAGGAAGTGAGACAATGACGGTAAAGTGATATAATTAGATGGAGAAGGAAAGACTTTATTCAAGAGTCAGCACCAAATAAATTCGACGGAGACGATATGACACTTGTCCTAGAAATCTGAAGATATCTTAGGAATGACATTTATTACTCTTCCTGCATACACAGATGACAATAACTACATTAGTTAAAGAAATTATTGTCTTTGACTTCACTGCAGTTAATCCCACTAGTGTTCTTGGCGGAACAACAAAATTACCAAAACAAACCTTCACTAAATCATTGTTTGCCAACACCAATTATTACAAAGACTTGGATACTGTTAAGTTCCACCTCTTACTCACTCTACAAATATTTTCGTCTCGATATGTTTCTTTCATTTACGCTGCATATTTTCGTGTTGTGTTTGAGCATTATTATTCTAATATCAGGTAGTATGTTAATTATTTCTGCTTTGTCATGATATATACTCAAGCATAGACATTATATCTTATGTAAGCTACCCAGATTTAGGCTGCTACAGTACATATAGGATATTGCAGGTACCGGCTCATTTAACAATGAACCCAGACACTACATATCTGTCTACTTGTATAACTGTTTGACTGAATTTATTTCTGCCTCTTTCGAATTGGGTGTCGATTAGAGCTGACTGTCCTGAATTCTACTTGACACGACGTCGTCAACTATCCGGAAAAAGCTGATTCCTCCTTGTTTCAGACACAGGATTAAATCCATAGTCATTAGTGTAAGGGAATAAAAATTTCAGAGTTAGTTTAACATTGATTTACCTAAACACCAACAACGATTTTCACACACAGAACTGAGTTCACAATCAAAATACACTACACTATCTAATATTTCTGCTCAATGAGATTGAGTGGTGATCACTTACTGATAACAGCGCGAAGAGCGCATGTATATTTACACGAAGTTCAGTAGAAGTGTATGAATAGAACTCACTTATTCAATCGATCAGATGGTGAAAACACATGACATGGTCAACATGAAAATCGATCCGAGGAGATTTAAAATTGACTCCAGATTCCCCAATCTATTCGAAACACTTGCAACTCTTCGTACAGTCGTCTTCTCTCAGCTGGATTGATTAGTTGCGAAACTCTCACTGTCTTTCCAGACATCTCCACAGCATACTACAATTTAAAGAGGTCTACAGATCTAGTGACATCTTCGCAACTAAATCAATATCATTCACCTGAGCTATGAATCTTCTCCATCATGCTTACAACATCCTGCACAACTACTTGTTCTCCTCAAAGAAGTAGTCTCAACACTTCGTGCAGCCTTACCAACATTTTAATCCTAAGAATATTGATCTTACATAACACGTATAAGCAATGTCTAGAGACTACATTGGATATTTCCCCAAGCCATTTGAGCACAACCTAGCAAAGTAATGATCACAAGCCGAAGATGCACCTTTGCATCAGTCTTCATCGCATATCAACTATGAACGAAATATTCCCATATTGAGTCATAAGAAAAAGGCACAAACAGCGAAGAAAATTTTCTTTTCGACGATTCATTTTCATGAGCTGTACAATCGTAATTATAATTAACAAAGAAATACTTTAGACCAATCAGATAATGGTAAATTTTGTCCTTGGAAAATTGTATTACATAATGTAAGGTGTAAGAAGGGATGACTAATTGTAAGTTAGAAAGGAGACAGAAGTTGGCATGACGTAATAAGTGTGAGATAGTGAATAATCAATAATCTCGTGTAAAATGGACAGGAACTAGTGGAAAGGCTATAAGGTGTTTTTGTATAAAATATGTATGGGAAACAATGTTATTAATAAACAGTAATAGAGTGGTAATAAAATGTGGATGATGGGGACAAAATGATAATAAAAGCATATCAACTAGCCTACGAATGCGTAGAGCCAAACACAATCAAAATGAATCGCATACCTTAAGTCATTTCAGAACGAACTACCAGATGGTGTCAAAGACTGACACATTCTCAGTTAACCTTCCATCTTTTCTTATCAATGCCTCACTCTGTTGTCCATAAAAGCAATTAACCTCTGGATCTATCTCATAGTCTGTTGTCCGACTTTTCCAACCTATTCGCTATCAAAACGCGTACAACAGAAAAAATTAGTGTACACAATTCGTATAAATAACGGTATTTCTAACTTATTTCACGTAATACCATCAACTTCGGTTGGACAAGATGCATAATAAACATATCATCAAATCCGTCTTCTCGCAAAACTATTATGCAATTCCTGTATAGGACTTCACTAAACTTCGCTTGTAGGTATTTTCACCAATAATTTACTACAAAAGTAATAAACCAATGATATCTACCGATACAAATTAATTTCTTACAGTCTAGTCCCGTGATAATTTTTCACAAGGCTAGTCAGACCAAATTAGCTGTGTCAAGCGATTCTATTTTTATTTCACAGGTCCTGAGAAACCTCTGAGTGTTTGAAACTACAATGATTATAAAAGCATCAAAGTTACAACTGAAGTGTTTACACGACAACACGAAATATACTGCAAATTATACTAACGCGATATCAAGTGATCATTCCATCGTTTGGAGTAAAACTGTAAATCTGTGAGACGGTGACAGCAACAAGAAAAAAGCGGTGGACTACTTAATTTAGTTGTCAAACAGATCAGTAAATTTTACACTCACTTCAGAAGAAAACTAATTACACTTACAACAGACTAAAACTTAAATATCTCATGTATTTCACTCCCAACGCCTAGAACGCATCACAATCATAGGTGAAGCAATAACACTCTATCTTTAGCTCACAAAACAGAAATGATATCTAGAAATTTTAATCGGTATTTGAAAATGTTATAGTTCAAAAATAATCATCACTCTTTTAAAATATGTAAGAAAATCAAAATAAGTCAAATTGTTATTTACATAATTGAAGGAGGTTTACTTCAACCAGACTACGTGTTGGGATTTCTGGACTGGTGAGAAACATGCTGTAAAGCTGCTGGAAGAATTTCACGTAACTCCTCACGGCAGATAGTTCTGATCATTGTGGTTAAATCAGGTGAATCACTTCTTGAACTCATATGTGAGTCTCTTCCCATATTATGAAGTAGCATTAACATTTCCGTCAGGCACAAACGACGTAGGAGACGGATGATCTCTTCATCACCATTACGCAGTGTGGATTCGCGGTGGGTATTAAGAGTTTCGTTGGCAGTTGAGTTGTTGCTCACAGAAATTTGTGTTGCTGATGGCCACTTAATGTGAATCTTTGACAAATCTTCTGCTATGTCAGAAGTAATGCTCAATGACTGACTGATATTCAATTGACCACTGGATTTTGACTTCAGCGCCATTTGCTTTTTATGCATTTTACCATTTTCATGTTCTTCTTTATTTTTAATCGACGCAAGTGTTACTTGACAGATATCACAGAATACGGATGGCTGGGTTCTCAAGGCAGGTGAATCTTTATTTCTTTTAATTGATCCAGGAGACAAATCTATTTCACACTGGTGTTCTGGCGAAGTGGACTTCATTTCGAAATCCTCTTTTGCCTGAAAATTCTCGTCGCAAAGACCACTAAAAACACCGTCAACACGAGAGCTACTATCTGATGTACATGCGAATTGTGATTCATCGTTTGAATTTGTACTACCGGGCAACAAGTTCTGAACCTCAGTGGCACTTTTTGAATCATTACAATCCATAGTTAGGTGAAGCCAAAACTCATCGTCAGTGTTAAAAGACACACGACACTTGGAGCACATCCGGGATTCTCTGACATCCATCATTTCATGAGATACTAAAGTGAAAAATGAAATGACATGAAATTAGTGCATGAAAAGCATACATATTGCACAGTGAAAAACACATAACAATGTTGAGATCGTGCTTGGGACTATGTCTAGATGAGAAAAGTAAATCAACTTGACCTTTATGATGGACATAAACGAAACAATATAAATGAATTACAGTGATTGCAAATTCCACAGAAGTGTCACTACTTATAACTGTGACGCTCTTTATAACCGAAAACACTGGATTTCTCTGTAATACAGGACTATATTAAACATGAAATAGTATTTAAGAACCTCAAATTATGTGGTGGCTGTGGCTCAATGCCGCCACTAAGCAAAGTCAATGTTCGTCAGTAGAACAAACACAAAACTAGACGGACACCCACCTTAAATTCAAACAGCGCGCGAATGCCTGGCTTAGAACAATGGGATGTGAAGAAACAATAGTCCAATATCCGATAACCAATATCCTTTCTACGGGCCAGTATAAACGGATTTGATTTCTTTGTGCTCGCTTATTCACTGTGAGGTAAAGGTTACTGATCTTTGGTAAACTTCGTCCCGTCACTCCACAGTCGTGGCTTTGGTTGACTCCAAAAGGAGTAATAATAATAATAATCACTTTATTCCACAACAATAACAATTTACAGCATGGAATTTTCAGCGTTTCATTTTACATATTGCATTGGTTTAGCTCTTTTTATAATTATATAAATGTATGAAATGTTAAAAATATTGATAATTAATAGGAAAAAATAAAAACCCCAACAAAATCACACCATTTCTAGGTCATAGTGAAATAATAAATAAATAATATAACAAATCACACGTGCAATAATATGCATCATTTCATTTTATAGTTTATTTAATGATTTAAAAGTTGTAAAAGTTCATTTCTGATATTCGTCTCTTTACACAATACACGTGCCAAATATGGTACGGTCGAATTTTTATATTTTGTAGTACGAGCATAAATGTTTATGAAATTTCTTCTGGTCTTACCCGAAGAGATACAAGGAAACAAATGTGAATAAAGAGGATGTTCACTATCAGACAAAATAACTTTAGCTAAGTGTTTACAAGAATTCATGTGCCTATTGACAACATTGTCGGATAGTTGAGTCAAAGGGATAGCACTGACCCTACTTACAGCCTTCAATAGTCTTCGTAGTATTATATAGTCTTTCTTGAGTAGTGCTGGGATTAATTATATGTTGTTTGTAGTATGCGGTGTGTTAAGACTTTGTTACTACCGTGAGTGGAGTTGATCCCTACATCATTCGGTCCTCCAGTATCGTTGTCAAAAGCAAAGAGATAATAATAATCACGGCTATAATCAGTGTAGGTTATTCAGACCAAAAGACAGAAAAAGAAATAAAGAAAACGTAAAATCAGCCAAACAACTAAATTTGAAGTTGAAATATATATATGTATACATATATAAATATATATGTGTATAATGTCAGTAATAGTAATAAGTGTTTGTGCAGTAGTTGCAGTTGTCAGTAGAGTAAGACAGGAGGGAATGTGAAGAAGTAAAACGACGAATTCAGTTGTCTACCCCCGAATGGTATATGGGTTTTTGAGTGTATAGGCTATTTCGACACTATTGATGTATCGCTGCATGATTGTTCAGCCTTCGCTTAAAGATGTACACAGACGGTTCCATAGCTACATCTGCAGGTTAGAAGTTCCAGGGACGACAAACCCGCAGTGAAAAGAAGTGGGAGCGCACCCGGGTCCTTGCCCTCTGGTGAGCTATCCTTCTGGGGTTTTCGCGAGGAAGCCTTTACCTACTCAATGGCAGAACACCATTGTTTGAGTGATTCCGGTCATTTGCGGCCGTGTAGATAGCAATCAAATCCTCCTTAGGCCGACGGTTGTTGAGTGTGAATAGGCCTAATTTCTTTAGCCTTTCATCAGACGTTTTATTTCAGAGACAAACCACTCCTTGTGTCGCCCATCTTTCGACTCTTTCCAAGAGGCTGGTGTCTCTTCTAAGCAGTAGGGGTGCAACGATATTATGCACTTCGAGCTGTGGTCTGACGTATGTTTTGTGTATAGAGGATAGCGGTACAAATGGCTTACGGAGAGGCTGAGCACTTGGAGGTCACTTTTGCCCACTGTGATCGGTAGATTTTCTTTTGCGTAAACGTTGCGGCTAATATGTGTTGTACGTTACTGAGGTGGGCTTTGAAGTAGCAATAATAAAATCTGATAGACAACCTATTTTTTAGCTTAATGGAGCAAGTTAACATGTGTGTAAACTTCACAGATGTGCTAAGCATTGAATCCACTTACAAGAAGAATATTAATGGGTAACTTAATCAAAGAAGTATAAAGTTTGAAGATTTGATCCCTTTCAGTGGGTTGTAACGGATGGATGAGAGTCACGTGTACAATATTTGCTCTTTACGGAAGAGAAAGTGTGACAGGTAATTCCGAAGTTACACAATTCTTCAAATCTATCGTGGAATACATGGACGACTAATCTATAGAATTTCACCAACTCTGTGATTGTTCCCTCCGTTGTTCACACATTCAGTGCGGCTGAGATGAGGAACTCATGATATGTTTTGACACTCCTTTGTCACAATGGCAGTGTAACCATCATTTACAAAATAAAATGCTGGATCAGTTTTAGAAGCGGCAACACTGCAGGCCCGTTATTCTTCTCTTTTTCCAGATGTCGCTTTCGGGTTCTTACGATGTCTTGAGAGTTTCTTTTTCGTTTTGCTGTGTTTCACGCACTGGCTTCCAATGGATACAGGTGTAGTATCATGTCCACCTGGTATTGTTTGTGCTGTTCCGGTGCAAGACTGTGGCAGTGTAGGCGTGGTAACAGAACAGGCGAGTTGTACACGGGTCTTTAGAATCGGTATGCGGGATGGGGTAAATGTCCTGGGTTATTGCCTCCTCTGGCTGAAGCCCTTGTGACTACAGAATATGGTGTTTTGGTGCGTTTTTCCAGGCTACTTTCAACAGCCATATCAAGAATCACTATAATTTATGCTATATAAGAATGAGAGGGCAACAGTATCTACCCAAAGGAACAAGAATAAGACTGTTAAATTACAAGACAGGTAAAAGGAAAGGTTCTTGACTTTAACTAGTACTTTCTGGTTAGTCGGCTTCACAGCAATCACGTGATAGACCAACAAGTCTCGCTTATCTGAACGTGTGGGGAAGAGGCTGCCTCAGAAGTAGCACTTGAAGCTTTGCCAGAAGTTCAAGACAGCTGGACTTACCACACAGAGATTTGATATAAATATATAGTTAACGGTTGAATTTAACTCACCGGCTAAGAAGATCAGGTTTCACAAGCAGATAATTCACGAAATGGGAATTTTCTGGTTAGAGAGGTAAAAGCACGTCGTACTGAAGGAGCGCGCCTTGACACCAATGGGTACATGAATAAAGCATATGCCGAAAGTGATATTCGACTGTAAGCAAGTAATTGTTATTCATTTAACAGATTAGTAATACATTGATTGAGCCAAAGTTCAATAGTGAATAAAGAAATGGTAAAGAATTAACAAATACAACTTACATAGATTACTACAGATTATAATTAATATATATTTATTCCTGTTTATGCAGGAACATACCAATTGTACAGGCATGGATAAGTTATTATATAAATTACACATAATTCAGTGTATGGTGAACTTACAGTTTGTTTGTTCTTTTTGAACATTAGAGTCAGTCGGAACAGTCAGCTAAATAGTGTGTCTGTGTAACCGCTTTCAAGACATAGAAAAAACGACAGGCAGGATACAGGAAAGGAACTGACACATATATTAAAAATCCAGCTAGTAGAATTTGCGAATTCCCTGGAATAATTTCAGCGTCGAGTCAGATTGAATCATTATGAAATCACTTAAAATAATCCCAGTGTGTTGAGATAACCAAGACAAGATTTTATGAACGTTTCGCTGTGTAAGCCACAGCTTGGTCAGAGGAATTGCCCACACATTACATGCTGCCTGAAAAACACGTAATCTCACGTGAAAATCATGATAATTGTCCAGAAATCAGAAGCAGTAAGATATTACTTTTCTTCGGTTTCGCTTAATCGGAGTTCGCCAGACAGTTTATCAGTCTATTCGTTTCCTCCATTTATTGCATTCGATGTGGTTAAATTATGCAGGGTTTCAGACGTCAGCCTTTCTCAATGTGAATTGAAGCCTTATCCGAGTATTTCGATATTATCAGAATCGATCTTATGACCACTTCTAAAGCATGCATTTCTATAGCTGGTCTTTCGTCCAGACTCTTCAATTCAACTTCCTTCCTACATAGACGTTTTGTGCACAGTCTGTGTTCATCCACTCTGACCTTTGTCTTTCTATTTCTTTCCTCTATATAGCAAGCTTCACATCCCAAACAGGTTACCCTATAGGCACAGGAGTTTTGTGTCATTGTAGCAAATGGATTTTTGACACTAACCACAGCCTCGTCTAAAGAATTAAAAGGATTTAAATAGACTAAAACATTATGTGAAGCAAGTATCGTTTGAGGTTGTTCAGTCATGTCTTTTTGATGTGGAATGGCTGTCGTCAACACCCGAGATTTCTCAATCATATCTTCTGCCCCCATTTCTGTTAAAAATTCATAAAGCAAATATTAAATAATAACAAAACATGGGAGGCACAATTCAAACACCTGTAGTTAAAGATAACCACCCAATCCATGTATCGTGCTTTTACCGACCACCTTTCGCAGCCATGAAGGGACTGAACGAAATGGTGTGCTGAACACCTATCCTTTGATCGATAGTCACATACCACATCTACGCCAGAGGTGAAGTTATCAGACGCATCACAAGAATTTTGTATCCATGATGAGGTTTCATCAGCAGTCGGTCCATTGGGGTTGGTGCAACTTCGCAAATAAGTGAAGCGGTCAACCCACTCATTCACTATCACTAATCTGGGAGTCGCCACACACCTTTCCTGCAGCATTGTCTCATATTTAACAGGAGCGAATCTGATGTCTATTGAACTTTTACCGATTTTATTCGTATGTCTAGTCAATATTTACTCATGTATATAAACGAAGGTTAGAAGTTGTGTGAGTACCTTGATATGATTATGAGCAATAAATTGCGTTCGAAACTTCATCAGTAAGTGTTAGTGTGTAGCACTGTGAGACTTTATCAGAGTTAATTTTATCCCTAGTGGAGTTAAGATGTAAGCAATTCACTCCTCTAAAATTCATTGAACACCACCACTTACAATTAAATGTCACGCTAAGCCTGTATCTAGGTTTGACAGTAACTGCACGTCGAGACTATACAGTGCTTTTCAGCTCTCCA